GACAAATGCCGTCCTCGATAAAAAATCCTAATAAACCTTATCTGTGTTACATAGAACTTGGTTAAAGCCGTACTTTGTTTTTCGGTGCCAGTTAACGAACTTAGTCAGAAATTGTCTAAACATATGAACAATTGATCGAAGAGTGCATTTGGTATGTGTAGAAGAAATAGTAAAATTTGTGGAAATTTGCTGGATGATTTTTACAGTTTCGATACAGATATTTTCAACTCACATAATCTTAATGTTCTCTAGCAGCAGTTTATCAGTGAATCGGCCTTACTAACCTGATGTTTCCTCGCGACATTTTCTACCAACAGACGTATCAAAACAGAGAGAGAACTTTATGTCTTTAGAAGCGTATGCAGAGAATTTAAATCGTTGCATTTAGTTAAGCATATGACGTCAAATAGTATCTGTAGTCTCTGAGCCACCACGCTTCACTAATCGAGTCAATATATCTAAGATAAATACATGCAAACAACCGCACAAACAATTAAAAGATAACAACTGGTCAATACGACTTTCTGCCGAATATTCGAGGCTGTCCATCATCGACATAACTTTATATAAAAAAATGAAAAGAAAAGGGAAGCGGTTAAGAGAAAAAATTCCCTCAAACCAAGTGTTTTCAAGTCGGCTTCATGCGGCGTTTTTTAAAACGGCCGCGGTTTGACGCGTAATGGCCATTTTGAGGTTCCAGGTAAAACTGGTTAGGTCTGCTGATGCTTTACCTCAAAAATTTAGGACACGAAGCATTATTTACGTTAACTATACTGCAGTATTTGTACCCCAAACGTTCGTTTTAGCGAAGGAGTACGTAGGAAAGCAGTTGAAATGAAATGAAAAGAAATAGTGTAAAAAAATGAAAAGGAAAACATTGCTTCTGGAAAAAACAGGCACTGCGTGATTACTTGAGGGAATTATCATAAATCAAAGCAACTAGTTACGAAACTAGTTGTTGATACTGTCCATGAATCTAATGAAACATTTCCTTTGATTATTTACAAAACGACACGTAATGGTATCTTGATTAACCTTGATTAACAAAAAAAGTTGACGGCTTTGAATAACCCGGAATCTACTTTACATGGCAAGACTTGTATCTCCCCTAATACGTCCAATATGTCGAAACTGACAACCTGCGTAAGTTTCGAAGGAAAGTTCCTTTCATTTCGCTCGGTATTTTGAAAATATTTTACCTAAAATAGACGATTTGTAATATGTGCTATTGCTATAGTTTGCAGCTGGCGTCACGGCCATGTCAATGGACAAGGGCGTTTCCCTGCTCTGGAAGGGAATGGGACTAGGCATGCAAATTCTGCCTTTTTAACCAAGGTGGCCACCTTGTGAAGTGATTGATTGTTAAGGGATCGAGATAATATTTGAGGTTTTTACTTGGGACCAGCTGGACACGTATTCGAGGAGCCATATTGGCTTAGAAAAGCATCAGTCGTAAGTAGTAGATCGTAGTGACGTAAATCTTAAGAAATGCAAGTTCCTGTGGAAGTTATTCCACGGTAGACTCAAGGTAATAAACAAAGTAAAAACGCGCTTCTAAGAACCTGTTCGGCTAAAATTTTCCAGTTAGGCCCCCTCTATGCAAGAACCTTTTTAGCCTTAAATTTGAAACAGGTTCTTATCTTCTATAATCTATAAAAAATTCTGTACACTTGGGCAAATAAGTCAAAATTCGGGATCCGCTTTGGAGACACGTGTCTTATCCCTCCAACTGCAATATAATGTACGCAGATAACATTTAAGGAATAAGCTGGATACCATTAAGTACTCTTAGCTAAAATGTACAAATTACCCTTTATGTAATAAACTGTTTAGGCTAACTTAGGAAAATGCAGGTTCTTAGTCGCGTGTTTTTACTATTCTTGAAACCTGCGCCTTATCTCTCCTCCTTTTCACGGTTAATTTGCATAATTTTTGTTTTTCGCCCGGCGCTCCTGGCTCCCAGGAAAGAAGGACGACCGTTCGCGGTCTAAGATTAATTACCGGTAGTGTCTGTAAATGATCAATGAAAACGGCGTCTCATAAATCAAATAAAAACCAAAGCAGAGGTTTAGGCTTATTCAATGGTGGGTACAGAACTATACAGTTGCGATGAACTAAAGGCGCTTTTCAAAGTCAGAACTGGCTGGCCGAACAAGACATTTTCAAAATGAAATTGGCTTTTTCCAAGAGGAAAACCATGTCCTTCCTGCATATTATTAGTTTTTGAGTGATCTGGCTGGATAGTTAAAAGTCAGATTCTTCTTACGACGGGAATGATCTGGCCGTCTGACAAATACGAAGCGCTCTAAAACAAAGAGCTCAAGCAAGACAGTTCCTTTAAAAGTACATTGTTGTATTGTTTTTTTATATTACAAACTGACTTAAAATCAGTGGTGTAAAGGAAGTACACCCACAAAATATATGTTACGTATACCTTGTCCATTATATCACTATAATATCGCTGCATTACCACACGTACGTAGAAGGAGTAAACACAAATATTAACTTCAGGTGCGTCTGGGAGGTCAGAGGACTAGATCTGGGTACAAGGATGGCTGGATTTGTTTCTTAGCAGTCCCGAGTTTACTTGTAAAGTGCATATTGCACACCGTATTACTATAACACATTTGCCTCCAACCAGTTAGGAGTTTTCCATCCTCAGACACCTAGAGGCAGTTTAATAGCGGGGAAGAGGGAACGTCTAAACGGGCGGAAGAAAGAAAAAGTAGTTTGAAGAAAAGAATGAAACGGAAGGGAGCTTAAACAACAAAGACGGCCACGAAAACGTCACTCAAAAAGGGCGCCGCTTCAAACTTCATGGCGCTTACTCCATCTCGTTCAGTTCATCAAATGCTGGCAAATTTATCTGGAGATGAATTCTAAAAGACTGTATCGAAGTTAAGGAAAGAAAAAGAAAGTCGTTGTCTTGTGTTTTCTTTCCCCGCGACAAAAGTGAAATTAGGCACTTTCACGTCGTAGTCATAGTGACGGCAAAGAAATGTACAAAAAAAGCGTGATGCACGTGCAAAGTTGTTGTTTTGCTGTTCTCGTTGCCGTCGCCATTGTCGTTGGTTAAGCTCCCTATTAACGCTTGCTTAGACTTTGCCTCGCCTCTACTTTCTGCCGCTAATTTTAGAACTTTTTATATTTCATTTTAATTTCCTCATCCTCCGGCTCATCTTTGCGATAAGGAAAAAGGTTACATTGTGGTCATGCGTCTTATTACGCTTCATGATGATACAGTGTGACAACCGAGATAATTTTATCCTCTCCTCTCTACACATTAGTAAAACGAATGGGAGATACCTAAAATAAAAAAAATTAAAAAATAAAATAAAATAAAATAAAAAATCAACCTCAAATGTATCTCTAACGGTTGGAACTGGTATAACATATTAAAAGTAATCAAGTGAAGGTAATATACCAATACAAAATAACAACTTGTGCAATGTCTCCATGATTTTAAAACTTGATATTTAATATCTGAAAAAAACCTCAAATATATCGCTAATGACTGCAACTGATGGTCTAATATATCAAAAGTAATCAACATAATGTACCTAGACAATATATAAGTTTGTCAAAGTCTCCCTTGTAAGGAGGATAAAACAATACAGACTCAAGTTTCAATAAATTTGTTGTGAATGGGTGGGTTAAATGCATTACACTATACATTATTTTTCGAGAAATGTATGTATATGCTGCCCTAGTCTTGCCCAGCAACTACAATAAGAGCAATAAAAGAAATTAAAAAAAGACGATGATTCTATGTCGACCATTCCCTTGCTGCAAACAAACAAACAAAAACAAGAAAACAAATTCTTGTGTGCTCTTCCAGAGAGTTCGATATCTCTTCAGATTTTTTCCGAAAGCGCGAAGTCACTAATACGGACGGCACCAATTATTATCAGCTCCTTCATCGCTAGGCAGATCATCGGGAAACTTGCTTGCGTAGCAGGATCCGGTTAATTTTTTATAAAGCGTTCCAGGGGAACACGCGATTTTCCACCTCTGCTTTTCTCCCCTCGCGCGCGAGCGACCTCAAAAAGTTCTCCCTTGCTCCCTAAAATAAACCGGCGCCCGATAGGCAGGTTATGGGAAACCCGAGGAAGACAACCTCAACAATCAAATATACATCTCCACAGACCTTGATCACGTTCTTCTCTTTTTCTTTTGTGTGATTATAAGTCACTGCTTACAACACGACGCTCTACGGATGTGACTTGCAGTTTCTGTCATCATTCCACAGCCAACGGCATGAAATTTTCGCTAAAAAGCGTCATTGGATGTTGTGAAATACTAAAACTAAATTTGTTTTTAATTAAATAATTCACTGAAAATGAACATCTTAAGTTGGGCAACACCGCTTGCCTGATCCTTGTCCATTTTACTTGCTTGTCTGTATTTTCATTTTTCCCATTAACGGGTCAGAACATCTCTCTCAGGAGAACAGCCAGAACGGAACGAAGCTGGTGGTGTTTTCACTGCAAATTAACCCTTTAAGCCCTAAGTTTGATCAGCCTCAAATTTCTCCTTGTAATATCAGTGCTTTGTAAAACAGAGTTGTCATGAGAATTACGGACATGATCACACAAGATAAATTTGCTTGACCTACACTTCTGTAGGAAATGAATAGGGGCAACAAATGAGAATTCAAAGTTTGATCTTAGGGTTTAAAGGGTTAACTTGAAGAGCACTAACCAATGTAAAACACGACTCAAGGATCACAGCTGAAGCTAAGACGATCACCGGATGATAAGACGGGTGAAACGATTTCAATCTGTTCCTCAGCGTGTGACTGTGAAAAGGTTCCCGACTCTTCTTCATCTAGCGAAAAACAAAAATCCAATCTCTTCTTCCTCAAGCAGAAAGGCTACAACCTCTTGTCCATCGGGTAAAAGGGGATAAAATCTCTTCTTCATCAGATAAAACGGATACACGATCTCTTCTCTATGGAGAGAAAAGGTCGCAGTCTCTTTCTAGGTAGCCGCTTTTGAAGGTCATAGCTGATACATGTCCTGCTCTTCTGCTTCAACACAGCTTTGATAACCAGCACAGAACTGTAGCATGAGCATCGCCAGCGATTGACTTCTCTCCTCTGATTTAGCCTAGCCAAACAGATTGTAAACAAAGTGTGAGGCTTCTTTTAAGAGACCTATTTCCACCAACCCTCCAGGAGAGAGACTTCTTTTCCATAAGATAAACCTAGTTCTCAGAGAGTCTGAGGCTGAGATATATTTGGTTTCAAACTTTGTCCCACACTTAAATAACGATTCGCAATACATCTAGGCAGATAGTAGGACAGGCGCAGCAGGATTAGCTCAGTCGGCATATGTAGAGTGTTTGACTGCAGAGCGGGAGGTCTCCAGTAGGAGACATAAAAATAGTGTCCAAAATTAGTACTGTCGTGCTAAATACATTTACACTCAAATACAGTGTTTTTTTGCACCGTCTTTCTTAAGCGTCCATCGAAGGAGGGTGAGTTGATGAAGGTCTTTGAACATTACTGGGAACACAGTGAAGAAGTGCACTGCGATGGACAGGCGTTCCAACCTAGAAGGGAGGGTTCGGGGTAAAAAGTACTAACAGTGACTTCATACTTCTATGATCGAGTCAGTTACAAGTACAATAAAGTTGTCTAGAACACCATCGTTCCTTAGTGTCTATCTCAAAGTTAATTCACAACTCACCAGTAAGGATTCGATAACGGCCTTTTTTCTCGCCTCCTTTGCTTGGCTTCTTCTTTCGTACAACTCTGTGCGCGTTTCGTTCTCTTCGTCAATTTCCACTTGAAGTCTCTTCATCTAAGAGAAAAAAAATCCTTAGACATGGTACAACCTTTTTTTTATAAGCGAATGTGTCATGAAAGAAATCGACACTACAAGGAGTTTCAATTTGAAAGTAAGTGCTCGCGTCAGAGCTTGAAGAAGATACGCAGAATACAGTTTGAAAATAAATAAAGTGAAGAAAATAAAAATGACCCCTGGGACATCCTCGTCCCCAGGGCTTTCTCGTTAAAAAATGGCTGGGCCCCACTCATTTTTTAAGGGAAAAGCCCTGGGGACGAGGTTGCCTCTATTGTAGAGAATAGTAAGGCTTGCCCGAAAAAATCATCCACTCACCATATCTTGTATTTTATTTTTTCGAGTCTCCACCGGAAGATTAGAAAACAGTTCTCGGCCAGCCTAAAACGAAAACGTCACATTATTTTGACACAAAGAACGCGTTTATCCAGCTACAATCCTTTACTTTGGGGAGGTAAACATTTGTAACTAACCTCCCTCACTCTCTCTGAGGCTCTAACCATGTCACTGGGTTCCACAGGTTTGTCTTTCTTTTGCAGCAGTTGGTCATTTGTCATGGTTGTCTCCTCGTCACTGGCTTCAGACTGAAAAAAAAAATAGAAAGAAAGAACAAGAAAAAAAAAAATTAAGTTGTACTATAAATAAAGCGAGACCACCACAAGAAAAATTTGACCAATTCAATTCAATTTCAATTCAATTCTTATTTCACTCACACAAAATTAGCACGATTATAATAATTTTCCATCAGAAGTTTCTAAACAAAATGAATACAAACACGTATATAGAAGAGAAAAACTCAAAAGAATTATGTGCCAAAATAATTTACAAATTCAATCATTATTATTATAGGCCGCGAAGGCCTGGAACTGGTATCAAATATAGTGCCGAGGAAATGGAGCAAGAATTTCCGTTTCGGAAACATTCCGTCCTGAAAAACAGGACTACTTTTTCAGATGTTCGGTTAATGCTCCCGGAAATTTTCCGCTGGAACGACCCACAAAGTCATGCTCCACTCAAGGTGATGTTAAACGGCACGATTAGTAACAACAAGTTCTAGCGCAACACAGGGTGGCAATGTTGGAACAATGTTGTAATTATTCGAAATGTCGCAACAATGTTGCTGCGCTAAAAATCGTCGTTGTGAATCGTCTCGTGTGACATGACCTTTACAGTCAAACCCCAGTAATACAGACACTGAAGGGTCCATAGAGAGTGTCAGTATTAACTGGGTGTCCGTATTAAGCGGGTCATGTTATTAAAGTCAAAAACACCTTTTATTAGAACAAATTACCAAAGAAATTAAAGAGGACATTGGCGTCGTCACATTAAACATCTCTAACCTTCTCAAAGCCGTCATTCCGCGGAAAAAATTCAAGGATAACTCGTTTAACGCCAAAATAGTCTGAAATTGACGTTTACAAATCATCCCATCCGGTGTACTGTACTAAGAACTTCAACATGCTTTCAACTGAACGCTTCCTGTAACCTTCAGTTACAGCAAACAGTTGACAGTAAAGTGTCCCCATTAGCGAGGTTGACTTTCTATGAGGATTTGTTGGTAGGGCAAGAAAAAAGTGTCTGTTGTCCGCATTAAAGGCAATTTATGGGTGTCCGTATGAACTAAAAGCGGGTTGAATTTAGAGAAAATGTAAAGGCGTTCCCAAGGGACAAAGAAAACTGTTCGTAGTAGTGAGGTGTCCTTATTACACGGGTGTCCGTAAAGTGGGATTCGACTGTACTTTCCTACCAGATTTTCCAGTAAACAACCAGATCCTTACCTTTCCGTTTGTGTCCATCTTTGTTTCTTCTTTACCCGTCTGTTTCATCTCGTCTTCGTCTGAAGTCTTTTCTCGCTTGCCATCGAGCTGATCGCGTTGTGATTCACTGGAACCCGCTTCTGAGACGGTCCCGTCGCCTTCGGTAGTGTCTTCTTCTTTCTTTTGCTTACCGGCGTTTTCTGGCTGAGATGTCGTCTTTGAAAACCAACCAGCTGTTGATTTTCTGGAACTGTTAGAGGCAAGAGAATGCGATGTTCATTATAAATACCGAATACAGCATTGTGACCAAGAAAGAAAATGTCGCCTTAAGTGGGGTTTGAGACCACGTCTCCCTGGTATCTTGTCTCGGGTGTGACAACCACTATACCGTCAGGACTACCACACTGGCAACGCAGCAATCGAAAAGAAAGGCGATTTATGTCGTTTTGGATACAGGCTATTAAATATTAAATAACTAATAACTATATATGAAAAATAACAACCACCAACCTTATACACCACACGAAATAATCATAAATATAAATACTTATAATCCTCTCTAGTTATGGGGCTTATAAGAGATAGTGAAACATAATTCAAACGGAACAAAAAATTGTTAAGAATCCCAGCTGGCCATGGTAGGAAGCGAACCAGTTAGTTATTTACAAGCATGGCCGAAGATTTAACCTCAGCACTACCGAGAACAAATCCAGCTAGCGGTCAGGGCGAGACTTGGTTACAAGTCCAGCGCTTTAAAATTGTCTTAGTTTTATTTTGGCCAGCTTTCACTGACTTCCATCACAGAGGAAAACATCTGAGCACGTAAATAGTCCTCCATTCAATAGGTGAGCGAAAGGTAACGTATGCTTCGTCTTTTGAAAATTTACGAATAGTTCTGGACGTTTACTTTCTACAGAGATCCCTTTTGGCCGACAATTTACCCCCAAACGGTAATTTCAAGCCACCACTGCCACAAGGCTTACAACATCCAGAGGTTCACGACTGGAATATTTAGCAAGACTGACTTGAACAAGACCCCCATAATGGGTACATTGGCCTGCTAGCTGCGCGATACAGAGGCTCATTGAATAGTTTCAAGCCTTTTTGCATTTCTCTGAAATAACTATCCCCCTTTCCCCAAAAGTCAAGTAATTTTCCCATTGCAGAAGGGACGGGACAGGCAACTCCCTTGCTACTCAGGGGCTTTGCCACAGGCAGCCTAATAAATACTCAAGCATAGTTCTTACCTCATGCAGTAAGTATATTTCATACAATTCTGCAAACATTTCTTGTGGCAAATCATTGCACACGTCCTACACTGGAACGCAACTTTGGTCCAAACCTAGTTGAGAAAAACAAGCCTTGACTTCAAACCACACAATGGTTTCGACAGGATAATCCAATGACACACCAGTCTCTACGTCTGCACATTCACCCCTCTTCTCTACTGGCTAGCGATCAGTTCCTTCAAAGACCAGTCAGGAAGTTAATTTCACCCCGATCAATTAGACATGCATATTGCAAGTCAGTGTGTCAGCGAGTCATGTAACCAGCCAGACTGTGCACTTCTCCCACAAATCCACTGTTTTCCTCAGTCAGTCAGTCAGTCCGGGAAGTATCACCGATCAGTCATTCAAGCCTTATGTCACCCGGCAAATCTAACAATTTGTCAATCAGCTAGTCAGTTTGAGAGACAGTCAGTTTTTCAGAGATTCATTAGAACCGTAAGACCGTAATGTTAGTAAGTCATTCAGTTAGTAAGTAAGACAGTAAGCCAGTCAGTCAGACAATCAGTTTGGTCCATTTGTCAGGTAGTCAGTCAATCAGTTTGGTCCGTCTGTCAGGCATTCAGTCAGTTTGTCAGACTCGGTCGGTAAGTCAGTCAGTTAGACAGTCAGTTCGGTTCATTTGTCAGGCAGTCAGGCGCTCTGTCAGTTTTCAGACTCTGTTGGTAAGTCATTCAGTCAGTTACTCATTCGTTCGTTCGTTCTTTCAGTCCGTCAGTTAACCAGTTAGCTAGAAATAATTGAAAATGTCAAAAACCTTCAAGGCACAAACCTTTTTGTTGCAGTAGCTACATCTTGTGGGAAAATAGAACTGGGTAAAATTAAACTGGTGTTTGGGAGGCTCTAGACTGCAAATAACAAAAATAAAAATAGTCAATATGATAAATTAGTGAAAGGCCATGAGGAAGTAATCTGGTCTAAAGAATAACAATAAAACAATGACAGGCGAGCGAGTAACTAGATGTTTTTTTTCGTAGGAAATGCACAGGGCTTCTTTTCTTAATTTTAACTGTTATTTCAATAACGTCACACATTTTGCAATAGACTTCACTTAAATTTGAGATACGACTTTCAGAGTTCGCAATCCTCGCTCATTGGTGATAGATAAATCTAATCTGCGACCACAATTGCATGACATTTGCAAAAATATGTATAAGTTGGCCTTTAATAGGGTAGTTTCTATGACATCAAAACCAACCGTTTAAACAAGCATAAATCATTCCCTGCGTACCTTTCAAGTGTGTCTTTCTCTTGGCTTTTATCCTTGAACGGAAATAATGCAGCAGTGAGTATCACTTTCTGCAAAACTGGACACTCCAACATATTGCCGGTTTGCAGCTGACTAGTCCCCTTTGGGTTGCACACGGAGAAAACGCGAGAAGCGTGACCGAAGAAAGTGCGAGGGTGATTAGGATGAAAACTAGTTTCCTGTCTTTCCTCCTTTCCATTACCCCTTGCGTTGCCTTAAACCACGATTCTCCCGCTATTAGTGAGTTTACGCAACAGGTCGGCTGGAAGAAGAGGACGGCAAAACGCTTGTGCGAGACAGACGTGACAGGGCTATTACTTGCGTGTTTTGTCGTGATCTTCACTTAACACTTATGTTTTATGGTCTTTCACAAAAAGATCTGTCTGAAGAAAAGTGACGTTTGGCGAAAATTTATTTCAAACAAAATTATTGTCACGCTTGTCACACAAGGTTTGCTGTCTTCTTTCCTCTCCCGTCCTGTTGCGTAAGTTCACTAATATTAATAGGAGACTGAGAGACGACTGGGGACCAGACTTGGTTTGCAGCTACAACACGGCGGCTACAAAGGTTGACGATAACAAAGTTGTTTCCCTTCGGTGGGAACTGAACTCTTTTTTTGGTGCAAGTTCTGCGAATAAAAAATGTTACGTTTTGCAAAGCAACAAGGCTGCCATGTTACGTGGTTGCAAACCCGGAATTCAACTAAAAGTGTTTATTCTGAAATTTGACCAGGGGGAGTTGGTTTACTCATTACATCGGGAAAGATATAATTGAAGTACACATCTCTTCTACACTCGTGTTAAAACAAGCTAATGTTATTTTATCTCGTAGAATTTGATTAAAGCAGCGACAGGAAAAAACGTATAACCAAGAACTGAAACAGAGGCACAAGGGCCCAACATTTCGAACTTCAACTGAGGTCAAACTTTTACTCCAGCACAAAGTCAAACTTGAACTCGTGTCGAATGTAAATTTAAACCTGATGAAGCCTGAGAAAACAGCTAACATTTCACCGCGAAATGACGTCTGAGGCAGAAATTCCATACTGATGACGTGTCACTACCCAGATCTCTGTAGTGCTCATACGCATTAGCAAGATATCACTATGGAATATCTGCACTCGTTTCTCAGACGTCATTTGGCGGGGAAACCAATGGTGGCGTCGCGAAATCTCGGCTGTTTTCTCAGGCCAAACTTGATGTCAAACTCGAATTCCTGTTCAGCGCCAAGAGAGTTAGGTAACGTTAATAGGGCGACGGCGTCGTCAACGAGAACGGCATAAAAGCAGTAGGTTTAGATTCCCCAAAAAACAACGTTGCACGTTCATCACGCTTTTTTGTACATTTTTCTTAGCCGTGGTTACACGACTACAACGTGGAACTTCCTAATTTTACGTTTTGTCGAGGATGGGAATACAAGGCAACAATTTTCTTTTCCAGAACTTTGATGCAGTCCTTTAGAATTCAACTCCAAAAATAAGAGCGAGAAAGTTTGAGGTCACCGCGTTGTTGATTAAGGTCCCTAATGTCTAAAAGGCACGGGGTTGAGAAAGGATCTTGCGCTCATCAAAAAGCGAGCAAGGGTGGCGCAGTGGTGAGAGCGCTCGCCTCCCACCGCCGCCGTTGATATTGAGTTTGTTGTTGGTTCTCTCCTTGCTCCGAAGCTTCAATTAACGCAACACTGAAAACGAGCGGGGATCAAAACATTTACAAATAAATTACATTTACATTTACATTCGTCAAGTGGATAATCCTCACACGATGATAGCCTACAACATGGTTTCGCTCGAAACCTCCTTACCTTGGGTTCCGAATCATTTAGCGAGTCAAGATTATCCAGAAATGTCTCGTCACAGTCCTGGAGAGATGGAGTATGAAGAAAAATCAGCGTCATATCTCCACAGCAAAGGTTTTTCTTCAGACCAGGAAGGCTGCGTAGGTATGGCTGGCTAAAAAGGAATAACATGCAATACGGTAAATAAATTGTAAATTGTAAATGTCTTATACCTGTGTGTGGATTTAAAATATACCACAACAGCGGGGACTTCTCTATAAGTACAGTGAGTGGGTTCGTTTAACGCCCCACAGAATACATTAAATGAGCAAGGGTTGTGAGACGGGCGTACAGTTTATCGTCCTTATCCCAAAAGACGAGAAAGTCTAACCGTTTGCAGATGTCACTACAAAGGCAGCACTTTCTCCTCAGTTATTTAAAGACCTGAGTGTCTAGTCGGGTTTGAAGCAGCAGCCTCTCACTCGACAGACCGGTGCTTATCCAATTGAGTTAACGGGCGGGTTCTCGATATTGGTTGTTTTTTTTTTTTATTATTGGCAAGTTGAATTGTGAAGAAGACTTCTTTTGGGCAGGCGTTGGTGCAATACTGCTGGTTCCGTTCGTCGCTTTGTTTCTTTTAAGAGTTCCAGCATTATGTCACGGCAGTTTGACGTTTCAAAAAGGAAACTTAACAAACAACTAAAAGATAAGAAAATGTGTTAAGGGTTATTACTTTGAGATGACTCTGTCAGAATGTGGAGAAACCAGCACATAACACTCCTCATGCCTCTTGGAGGTAAAAGATAAGCAGCGAAGAGCAATATCCATCAATGGAACGGTAACCTGGAAAAAAATTTAACCCTGTTCAGCTCACGTACGTCCACAGTTGTCACAAGCAGGTAAAAATAAGATAACAATTCCGGGTCAGTCCCAAGCCTCTTTCTTACTAGGCGGCCTAGGACGCCGCAAACCACCTGGGCCGACTGACAATCAAGCTAACGAGTTCCCGACGAGAGATACCGAATTTTTGCTCGTCGGTGTACGAGCTAGTATTGAAGAAATTTATCCACCACGAAGAGCAAAGAGCACCACTGTAACCGATCTGAACCCAGGAATCATGACATAAGTAGTCTGAGTAGTGTAATTAACCAGCTCATTGACCAATCAGATTTGCCCTGATGACAGCCGCACTGGTCATCAAAACGTCAACTTGCGACTTTCATTTTCTCCATAAGGTTATTTGTTTTCCCCACAAAATTTTAAGTAAGTACTGTTTTTATATTTCTCTTGGGACTAATAATCGTCCCTTGGGAAACGGAAGACAAAACTTACGCAAAAATTTTGTGGGAAAAAATACGTTATGGGGAACGCGAAAGTCACAAATCACTGTCACTTTCACGGTCGACATTTTAAATATGGACCTGGGTTAATTGAGGAAGTATGGTTGACTTCACATGGTCTTACATTCTTTGGCAGTAAAGAGTAGTTCATGATAGGGTGAGAGAACACATCTTACATAACCCAGCACAGTGTCTTTTTCATTTTTCTCCTGTGATTTACTCCACACGCACACGTTAAGGTACTGATCTTTCTTTAGGACTTGAAACTTGAACGTCTCATCCCAGACAGGATCCTAAAAACCAAGGAATGAGTTGTTAATGAACATAACATGGCAGCAAGTAAATAGAGTACTAAGTAATGGTATTTTAGTTGAACTTCCCGCGTTTCGTTATTTCACATATCGTATTTTTTGTTTCTCTCAAAAAACAAACAAACAAGCAAACACCCACAACAAAATAAAAGCAAAGCGGGAGGCTTTTTACCGATAAAATTACTCGGACCATTGTATGTTTCTGGGGAACAGCCCAGCTACCCCTCCCCTAAGCCGGCATTAACACTTACTTCTCACTTAGGGCAAAATGTTCGCTTAGGGGAGGGGTAGCTGGGCGGTTTCCCAGAAACTTTTTATCTAACATAACAAAGGACAAGGCAAAGTACTGTACACATAAAAAAACTGTTCGTTCGACGTTTTTCAACGTTAACCGAATGCAACCCGTTTTAACCTTCGCGAATATTGCCCGCCCAAGTCCTCGATTGGCTTCTCTGTTTTTAGCTCGTGTACGTATACCGTTTTAAACGGCTGTATTTCAGTCAACTCTATGAAAAGGAAAGTAAATGGCGCGGTTGCTAAAAATCACATGATTGAGCCCCTGAAAGAAATCTGGGTACTTAAGTAAAATGCACTAGCCACGAGAAACGAGGGCATAAGTGTAAAGGAAATAAAAAAAATAACAATAATGATTTGCTTCTCTCACACACTTAGCTCGAGGACCTAAGAAAACTAGAGAGATGCTGTTCGAGGTCTTTAGCCCTTATAACGTACACTGAAGAAGTACTTCATATACCGTGCTTGACGAAACCAGCTTCGATCTTGTGTAGTCAAGTCCATCCAGAGCCGTTAGCGATGACGCTGTCGCGTCTTGGTTGTTGCCCTCTGCTGTGGCGGGATTATTTTGATCCGAGTTTTTCGTCTCCGATGCCGGTGATTCTTGCTTGATTTCCTTCGTTTGTACTTTGGGTAATTTTTGATCTCTGTAGATATGGGAACACAAAGCGCGTTATGTTAACTAAATTTGCTGGAATGCAATAACTTGGTCGACAAGTAGAGTCAGTAAGTTCCCATTCAAAAGTATCTATTCTTTATAGCGTTAGCTGCAGGACAGATCTTAGTGAAAGATCCATCTTAAAATTACACAATACCGCAATCCGCCTCTCTACCGCAGATGAGTTTTTTTTACCCTAAAACCAATTTGTCGTTGTCGTCGTTGCTTAAAGGTGATGTTACACGGAACGATTCGCAAGGGTTGAAATGTTGGAACGATATTGCAGCCATTCGAAACAATGTAACAACAATGTTGGAACGCTGTGTTGCGCTAAAATCGTCCCGTGTAACATCACATTGAGGACTTCCATTATGAAGTTTGCATGTTGAGGTGCATGTGGCCCTTTTAGGATATCAAATGCATTTCAAATAGACGTTCTTAACCTGGTAACTTGCAGTTCAACTCCAGGCTTCACTTGAGAACCATGCTCCGTGGTTGAAGTCCCAGAGGAGGCCTTTCTTCCTGCTGACAAGAGTTTGGATGAGCAAAAAAAGTGACTGGTAGTAGTAGCCCAATCACAGGTTACCCATTCGTCACATTTTGAACATCTCCTGTAATACATCTTGATTGCCACTTATTTTGGGGGACAAACAAGGTGTATTTAAGGAGATGTGCAAATGGACGGAGCTTATGAGACCATTCTGAGTCAAACGGTCACACGTCCTTACCAAAAGCTCTTCAAAACAGATGCCCTTTGCGTGCACGTGCTTGACGGAGTTGAGAGAGCGTACCACAAGGTTTCAAAATTTCAAGAAATAAAATAATAATAATAATAATAATAATAATATTAATTAATAATAATAAAATATGACGATACAGTGTCCAAATAAAGTTTTAACACGTTTACAATTTAAAGGGGCTGTGTCACGGCAGTCCAGTTCATTTTGTTTAATTTTGTCAATGCTCGCCCTCAATCGCTGTGAAACTTAAAGTAAGTAAAGAAATTAAATGTAAATAACAAAATCAGAGATCCGAGACAAACAAATATGTCTCCTGAGCATTATTTTTAAAGTTGCAAGTAGCAGGGATCAACTTTGAAAAACTGTTAGGCTGAACAGTTTTCAAAAACCCCAATTTCAATCCGTTTCAATCTTCTTCAGTTTTGCCCATCCGTGGCATCTGTTGTTTCTGTTATGTTATTTTAACCTTCCTTTAAAGTTTTAACCAGTTATTTTTATGTTTTTCTTAATTTAACAGGCATTTTGTAATTTCCTAATTTGGCTGAATTTCGTGACACAGCTCCTTTAAAATCCTCACATCATACATGCAAACAAAGTTGATTGAGGGTGTCAAACACTGCTAGAACAATGTAGTCTCAGGACTAATGTACGCAGCCGTAAACTGAATAATCTGACACATATTTTCAAACCTATGCTCTGCGTTGGACGAAACAAAAACGTGTGTGCGTATTCTAACAGATCTAGCAGGTAACGACCAACCAAAACACATGTGGCATTCAGTACGTTGCATAATCTACAGTAGGGTAACAAAAAATTCAGCAGAGGGTGTCGAACATGTCTCATCATTGGCGGGAATACAGCTATTTCGAGAAAGGTTGTCGGAAAAAGGGCACGCGACAATCCTGAAAGGTATTGTGGATGGTTTTTTGTTCACTGTTTTTCAAAAGAACTTTCAAAGAACGGCACGAGAGGCCATGAACGTGTGTTTGCGAATGCTAAAGGAAAGCAACAAAAGTAGGTTCGACAGCTACAGTGTCAGGAACAGTGTATTGATCATATCCCAAAACACCTTTCGGGATTGTAGCGTGCACAGTTTTTCTGACAACCTTTCTCGAAATAACTGTATGCTGAACAATTGTAGTCTAGTACTGTACGCAGCTGTTCTTTGTGTCGTCACGCAACACTGCACCCGGTCGCTCTTCCTCCCTTTCTGTGGAGAGGAGCGCTACGTAACGACAGAAAGACCAGGTGTGAAGAGGAATAGGAACAATTTCGAAACCGTTTGACCTGGGTTCTAAATTCCTATATACTGTAATTACCGCAGCATGGCTTAGAACTGCCGACCAACAAGTGCATGGAGTTAAATTAGAAACAGAAAACTTGGACAAGTAATAAATAGTCCAGAACAGACCTTGCTTGGCTTTCAGCTTCTTCTCCGCTCTCTGCCTCACCTCTGTACTTCTTGAAAGCACTTCCTTAATCGCACTGTCTCCAAGTTCGAACAATGGCACAACTATATTGACGAATTCGTCCTCTGATTCACTGTCGTTGTTCAGTGATACATTCTTAAAGTCCACAACTGTCTTGCTGTTTTGTTCGCTTTCCGAGGAGTTTTCCTGGCTCCCCTTTTCGGTTATTCTAGTAGGTGGCCTTTGTACTGTGGCCGTGAACCTAGTTGAATACAAAGCAGGATAATTACAGTGGAACCTCCGCTGACGGCAACCTCTCTACAACGGCCACTTTTTTTGTCCCTGCGAACAAATGATCCATACATAGACTCTAGTTTAACTGTCATATTGACGTGACAGGACTTCCTTCCGGACCGTACTGCCGACGGAGATTTGTTGTTTACATTCTCTATATTTTAGACTTTCGAAGAAGTCTTTCGTCCAATTTAAAATGTGGCTCGCAGCAAGAAGACTTATCGACCAAGGGAGATGCAAACGGATTTTTCAAGGCTCTCTTACTCTCCTCGCAATTTTTTGAATTCGCGACATCCTGTCAGAAAATCAAAGTTTAGTACATTCGCAGAAACGGGATACTGTTCTTTTAAACTTCTCTGCAGCGGCCAGTTTCTCCTGTCCCCAAGGCGACCGTTGTGGAGAGGTTCAATTTCATACAGCTATTGAACACATCCGGTCTTAATTTTGATACCAACAAAAGCGTAAAAGAAAACGTAATCACCACCGTCACCACAACCACAACAAACCATGACTACCCTAGCCCCACAGCCTGCGACCGTTTGACGATTTTTTTTATCGAATTTAGGAGTTTTGCTAGTAACTAAAACTTCGTATTGCCAAGGTTATTTTTCATTTTCCTATCTGTAAATTGAATATTCTGACACACATTTTCAAACCTGTAAGCTGCGTTGCACAAAACAAACTATGAACTATGACGCCAACCGTGTGTGTATTCTAATAGATGTAACAAGTAATGATCAACCAAAATACGCGTCACATTCAGTACGTTGTATAAAGTAATACACAGATTTAGCCAGGGCTAAAAGCGAAGCTAATAATAACAATCTTTTAATAGGATGCTCCATCACAAGAGTGGTTTACATAGAGGTCCTAATTACGAGATGTATATTATATAATACAATTAAAATATAAAAAAGTTAAGCTAAAGTCGATATATATGATACAAAAAAAAAAAAAAAAAAAAAAAAAAGCTAAAATCGAGTTACAGAAATAATTAAAACATACACACTACAAGTACTCAATTATAAAAAGCAGAAAAAAAAAAGACACTTCTTAAAAATTGGAAAACTTGCTGAGTTTCTTACAGTTCTCTCTAATTCATTAAAGTCTTTGAAACAGTGGTACCGCGAACGTTGTTTTCCCCAATTATATTTAATTTTGGGGAGCTTGATAGTATCGTTATTGCGCGTATTGTAGGAATGTATATCACTCTTTCTTACAATGTCCAAAGAATGATTAAGTTGGCCATTAATACACTTGTATGCATATATACATCGATGACATTTCCTACGTTCTTCAAGATTCAGCCATCTCAAGACAATCAAAGCATCGGTGGATGAGGAGTGAGGTGATCTATCTAATATCAATTTAGCTGCTTTGTTTTGGAGAATTTGCAATTCCTTCATAAGTGAGACATTGTCCTTGTCACCCCAGACTAAATCAGCATAATCAAAAATAGGTAGCACTAAGCTATTATAAAAAAAAAGTAACCGGGCATCATAAGGTAAATAATACTTAATCCTACGTAGAAGACCAAGGTTTTTATTAACCTTACATGAAATATACTCAATATGGTCGGACCATGTGAAAGTTGAAGACAACATAACTCCCAAATATTTAAAACTACTTACAGAATTTATATCAGTGTCAAAATAGATAACGTGAAAGAGGAAATACCAACAAGTTTCCTATTACTGCCTATAATCATGGATTTCGTCTTAGTAAGATTTAAAGTTAACTTATTTCCATGTAACCACTGGGCAACTTTCAAGAGATCATCATTCAGTGCCTCTTCTAACAGGTGTGGCTCTTTAGCAGAGTAGTACAGGACCGTGTCATCAGCATACAAAGTCACTTCGCAATTCTTTATAACCAGCGGAAGGTCATTAATATAAACCAAGAAGAGAAGGGTCCTAGAATGCTCCCCTGTGGCACCCCAAAGGTCATCGGGAGAGGGTCAGACACAGCATCGCTACAGGCAGTCCGCTGTTTACGATGATTCAGGTAAGACTTGAACCACTGTAGAGTGCTGGGCGAGACACCGATAGCCGACAATTTAGATAGCAAGATCGTATGGTCAACGGTATCGAATGCCTTGGTCAGATCTAGGAACACTGCACCGCACAGTTCTCCACTCTCCATATGCAATAGGACCTCATCTGCAAAACTGGTGAGAGCCGATGTTGTAGACAGTTTGGGACGGAAGCCAAATTGTTTGCTTGAAAGGAGATTATTTGAATTCAGAAAGTCATAGAATTGGGAATGGACGACTTTTTCCAGAATTTTACTCATTGTTGGCAGAATAGAAATTGGGCGATAATTTGACGCATCTCTCCTATCTCCAGTTTTGAAAAGTGCAGCCACTTTCGAGCATTTCCATATTTCAGGAAAATTGCCAGTGCGAATAGAGAGATTCAGTAACTTGGTGATCGAGGGACAAATAGCACGCGCGCCACACTTTAAAAGTCTCGCACTGATGTTGTCCAAGCCAATAGCTTTATTTGTCTTTAGAGAAAGCAGATGCTTGAGTACTGTTTTTTCATCAACTTCGTCAAGCGAGAAAGACTGTAGCATCGTGGCCGATCTGACTGGGAACATAGCAGCAGCTGATATTTTATTTGCAAGACTTCTGCCAAAAGCTCTCGATGATATTAAAACTTTGTTCAAACAAAATATAAAATCGTGTTATGCTAAGCGGAGCTAAGCGGCGAAGGCAACGCCGGAGAACGGTGAAAAACAACAATGAGTCTAATTAGCAAAAAAGCAACTTTACACGTGCAGCACACTTTTTTTGTACATTTCTTGGCCGTTGTTTTGCACGACTACATCGTGAAACTTCCAGAAGACGTTACACGTTGTTTGGAGGAAATGTCGTACGTGTTCTCGTCCACTTTTTTTTCACCTGCATTGGTGGCCGCTAGCATTTCTCATTTTGTCACCGCCGCCACAAAATTTTCATGTTGTCCTTCCAACAAAAAAATGTCTCCTTTGTTTCTTTATCTCTCGCTCTAGATCTCTGTCGCTTTTTTTCTCGTTCAGCTTCGCTGGCCTGCCGCCTACTTTCTCTTTTTCCTCTGTCTTTCTCTTGCTCTATATTTCAAATTTGTGGACATGACAATTAATCTAAGCTTAACACCAACACGGATTCAGAAATAATCGCCCTTTCCGTTTTCGTCTTTATTGAACTTTAGTTGTCTCTGCTTTACAAGACCCGGGCGGCTATGCGATTTCCCGCCAAAATAATCTCGAGTTGCATTTGGGTTGCCACACCTGTTGATTGAGTTATTTTACATTGGTATGCCTGTGGTGCGGACAGACAGTCGGTGTACGGTCACGTGATTACCAAATTTTTTGGGATGGGTAGATTTACTTACCCATGGTGCACCGCTGGCGGCTCCGGTAGAATTACACTGTAGTACAGAATCATTGCACAGGGACACTACCAGCCATAAATGCGCAAAGTACAGAACTATACTACAAGATAATATGGATCAGAGGCTCGGAGGACATGCAACCGGGGAATTACTGGGAGGGGAACAAATGTAACTGTGAAGGGCAAAACGGACACACCGGTACCCGTAGAAGAGGATAAGCGTTCGTTATCCGTTCGAACTCTTTAAAAAAGCCGTTCGAAGCGATCGATCAACCGTTCGAACGGTTTGCCTATCCGTTCGAAAAATATTAGCACCCGTTCGAACGGTTTGTTAGAAAGTACATAATCACTGCACAGAGATACCACCAGCCATCAATGATCAAAGTAAAACCCAGGACTACTATTAAATGAAATGGGGTGCCTTGTGACCGAGGCTCGGCGATGCAAACAGGGAATTATTGGGAGAAGAACAGCTGCTGGAAGGTGCACAAAACGCCATAATTTACCTGCTTTTGTTCTTAATCATTTTTGCAGCTTGCTTGAGAGATTCTATCTTGTGTCCATCGATAGCTATAAGAATATCTTTTGCAATGATTCCAGCAAAATATGCAGGAGAGCCCACTACTATAGTGTTTATGATAATGGCTTTACCAAGGTCATCCTCACTGATCTCTTTACTCAGTGTCAGACCAAATGAGATTTCATTACTTTCTCGACTTATCTCAATCTGCAAAGAAAACATAAAGCACATGTAGAGTGAGCATGAATAAAGTAATATACCAATACACATACTAAATGCGATTGAAATGGCACGTTCAGAAAATATAATGCTATTTGAGATGTAATGAAGAAGGTCAAGTATGAAAACTGCTACACTGGAATATGGAATAAATAATAACTTTAATAAAATTAATAAACTGTGTAAACTTGGGTTTCCACCATTTCTGCTGTCAAGTGCAAAGTTTAATTCCCGCGCAAGTGATTTGTGATATTATTTCACATCCGTTTTTTTTCTTTTTTTAATACTGTTTAGCTTTTAATTATAAAATGACAAAACATCCAACTATAAATCAGTTTCCTTGCTGGACAACAAAATATGATCGCACCTGCAAACATACAACTCCACAGTCATTCCTTAAGGCTTATTCTGTACTTATCAACATCTGATTGACGTATTTTCGATAAAAATAATAGTACTGTTATGCCCTTGGCCTTTTCAACAAACAAGTCTTTCTCTCAAACTTGTGTTTCTTTTCAGCGTAGAGCATTATTATTTTTCTTTGTTCTATGATCCCCATGAATTTATTCAATCCAAGAGTTATTATAAAACTGTATGTTTTTATTGTGCATTGTATCTTTCCTACTTATTTCCTTTTAAAATTTTATTTTTATTTACTAATTTTTTTTTAATTTATTCTACAGTAGACTAGACTATTATTATTTTCTTCTCAGCCTGGAAGTTTTGCCCCTTCATTACAGACAATCAATTATATATGCTCTATATTCTTTTTGGTAAATAAATACCTGACAAAGGTGTTGGTGAGAGTCTCTGGTGACCACTACTTAAGAACAGTGCAAGTTATATCTATATCCACTCTCAGTGAGTTTATGCAACAGGATGGCAGAAAGAAGAGGACGGCAAAATGCTTATGTGTGACAAACGTGACAGGGTTATTAATTGGGTGTTTTGTTATGATCTTTACTTAACATAACTGTCTTATGGTCTTTTTAGAAAAGATCTGTTTGAAGAAAGGTGAAGTTTGGCGAAAAGGTTTTTCAAACAAAACTATTGTCATGCATGTTACACAAAGTTTGCATCTTCTTTTCTCTCCCGTCCAGATTGCATGAGTTCACTAATATCATATGGCATGTACAATGCATATGGAAAAAAGGATTTTGTGTAGAGTTTCTTAGCCCTTTCTTCTTTGCCTGCTAACTACAAAATATGTTAACTGCCTTAAATACCTCAAATGTTGGCCACATTGCTCTCCTGTTCTCTGCAAGTTGACTCCACGGCAACATGTCCACAGAAAGGGTACAATACTGCCACGCCCCATTCTCTAACTCAGGTAGACGGCTACACCCCACAACAGTGACCTCAAGATCACCAACTGTAACCAGACTGTCATGAACGTAGACCTCCTGGGCCTCATCTTGAGGTTTAAGCTCTGGGAACAGTGGGCTGTACCTGATTTTGTAGGCAGGCAATGTGTGCTTCTTTTGTATTGATTTTCGAAGATGATTTAAAATGAGAGAGGTAAGCTGAGGCAGGTTCTTGCCCTCAAACTGGGATTCTGCTTCAAACTCAACTTCTGGTTCCTTAAGAAAAGAAACACACTCAAATAAAACTCTCTGAGAGGACAACTTTGATTAGAATCTTCGGAGATGACAGTCATCTCTTGAGACAAGATGCTCCCCTTGAGACAAAATACTCACCTCTCAAGATGAGAGCCTTGTTTCATGAGAAACAAGTTGAGACTGGTAACTTACTTATGACTCTCAAGTGCATGCACTAAATGTAGCTCGCAAGGGTTACGTGTGGTGCTGAGGAAGTGTGGGTGAAGGACAGTCGGCTCTACATCACATTTTTTCAATTACTCTTCCTTTCATGTACAATGAATTAGGTTCTCTTTCCTCTACAGACACTCCTGCTGGGTATTCCGATAAACTAAGCAATAATTGAGAAATAGTTAGCATGCAGTGGACAATGGAAAGAGGGAAAAGGCAGGAGTCTCTCTTCCTCCCTTTCCCCTACCCATCGTCCCCCACATGCTTTCTTTTGTTCTCCTCCCCCAGCCTCCCTATAACACAAAGAGGACTCTGTGGAGGACGGAGAATTTGGATTGTACAAACATCTACCTCATAGAAAGCCAAGGACCAGTGTGTGAGTGGGTGTCTACTTAGTTCCAGCCTTGCACGTCCGCGGAGAGAGGCCAGCTTCACTGCCAAGTACACAGACTTGTTGAATACAAGATCAACTTGTATCGCCATATGACACCCTCCGGAGTATTCAAGGTCCAAAGCAATGTCCAACTCTTTAGGGACCTCGTTAGGATCTTTTGTTCCTATTTTCATCACTGTAGCACCTACAAAAAAAGTTGCTTTGTAAACAAGCAACCACTGACAGTTGCCAGCTAACACAGTCTATGAAGTGAAAGTGCCTTTTAAATTACTTTTGTTAAAAGCAAAATGACAACCTGCTTGGAATCCTGTTTACTGAATTTCATGCTTGGAGTTAGTACACATAAATTTTGTAACAATGAAGAACACTACACAAAGTCTTCTCAGTGTTACAAAACCTTCCACCTTCTCTTTTCCTTCCACATGGTAGCTTACAGCTCCTAGCTGGAGGATTTGCCAGCAATGAAAGCCATCTTTCTCCATCTGACAGCTTGCTACCAAAAATGGAAGTTCTTGATGTCTCAGGCACCAAACTCTACATTGCAAGGCACTAATTTGTTTACAAATTTAAAGGATCCTACAGTAGACACTGTTTTTATGGTTAACGCATAACCTAAAATATTGTATTGCATGATTCAAAGCAAAACAAAACAATGAGAGGTGACTTTCACATCCTCAAGTACCAAATTTTGGTTGCATTGTATTAGTTTGTTAATTACTCTTCTTGAAGTCTCAAAACACTAAATATAGGAGTTCACACAAGGAGAGTTTTAAGACCTTAAATTGCATTCAGGGGCACCCAACATCAATTTTCGGAAAATATCTGTTCAGAAGACGATTTGAGATCTAGAATTTTCGGAACATTTGTTTCACACATCTAAAAAATGGTATAATTGCCCATTTTTAATGGATTTTTACCCTAAAAAGGTCACCTAGAATTTTAGGGAGCCTTTTTTCTGGCTGAAATTTTTGAAAAGGTACATGTAAGTTTTGATCCCTATAATTTTCAGATCACTAGACTTTCAGCTAGGAAATCCGAACAGATGAAAAATTTTTAATGGATAAAAGTATGCCTATATCTACCGTTTAAATACTAATTGAAAATACGTTTAAAAGTGCTATGTTTAAGTGGTTTTCAACTATATTCTCGTTGGGTGCCCCTGTAAACTGTTCTTATTCTATTAATTACCTGTGGTGGGGACTCCCAGACATATTCAAACTTGCTACAAGTTATCCTTCAACTACTTTCAATTGATACTTATCCTAAAGCCCCAGCTACCAAAGTAATAGTCTAAGTTTTACTTGTAATGTGTTTTCTTTTACTTTTTTTCTATCTCTTTTAATACCAACTACTATTGCCACAGTTGTGATTTTATTGTTTATTTGACTGTACAGTGTAATTGTAATACCTCTAACAGTCTTAAATAACTAAGGTAAATAATTCACCTTTAATGACAGGAAGAGATGTACCCAATGAGAGTTCTTCAATGGTTATTTGTTCGATCAGCTTGCTTGCAGCTTTCCCTCGCATGAGGTCTGAGAATTCTGCATTCATCTTTGTCAGAAAAAATGATTTCATCTGAGGAGAATCTCGCCATTCCCGCCACAGAAAGGATAGAAATAGATTCAAACTCATACATTTTTCTTCTTTAGTGGCACCCTCTGTCCTGAAGTAATCTGCAAGGCACTACATTTACAAGTTGTAATAATGTCTGTATTAGTATCACATTGAAGTCATTTACTCCCTTTGGAGGGATATACTAGATATACAGATTGGTGAATCCAAGACTGAGGCTTTTATTTGCATTTAGAAAGTTAGAGCCCTCATCAAAATTGACGCTTTAAATTAAGTGCCAAAAAGTTCAAAATTAATGACAATTTCTACAAGATTGAGATCTAAAATCTTCAAACAGATATGTAGTGTTGCACTGTTACATAATTCAGTGCTGACAAAAATAAAATAATGTACAGGTGCTGTAAACATTATTACCTTTTAATAATTGTAGAGTTTTTATAGGATGTACCTCAAAGGGACATTTTTTGAAAATCAAGATTCCTAGCTGATCTACAGTTGGTAAGATTTCAATATAACCCCATACATTTTATTAGGCATACATGTATCCATTCTATTCACATTGAACTACTGACAGTGTATTAATTAATTTTGTGAGAAAAGGTATGAAATTGCTGCATGCATAATGAATGTATGGGGTTATATGGAAGTCCTACCCCACATTTTATAAAGCCTGAGACAAAATTCTCATTCTAATTTCCAAGAAATTCAAGAATCAACGAGTATTTTGTGAGCCTGTTATTTGAGATTGACCATTTTACATCCATTCTTGGGTTAAGCACATGTTCAAGTTGAGTAATAGTAACAACAACAACAACAACAACAACAACAATAATAATAATAATTACATTAATAATATTTATTTACTTATACACCACTATATCCATAAAAATAATGCCCTATACATGGTGCTTCACAGAGATAAAAACCTGCCTTACAATTAAAAAAAAGGCTTGCAAAATAATAGACTCTCACTAAGTATTAAAAAGGCTGGAAAAAACAAAATTTTCAACCAATGACATTAAAAACTAAAACTAAAACCTAGAGCTAGAAAAGGTTAGAAAAGCAAAAACATAACTGTTTAAAATATTATAATCAAAAATTAAAACTAGAGCTAGAAAAGGCACGAAAATTTAAATCTAAAAGCACTGAAACAGAATGTATATGCCTAGTGCCCCACCTGTTCAGCAACACACTAGTGAGCGGGGGGAGGGGGGTGGAAACAGAGGAAGGGTCATAATTTTTTGAGACTGCAGAAAAGGGAGGGGTATGAAAAATGGGCGGTTAAAAGGGTGAGGGTCATGCAAATATGTGTCCCTGATCATGTAGAGGATCACCCACAGAAGAAAAAAGAAGTTCTTTATTTTGTAAAAAAAACCTGGGAGAAATAAGAGAGTCGAGTGATCAGCTGTCAGAATCAGAGTCAGACTCTTAATACTGTCATCTAAAATGTATGTATATGGCATTAAAAAGAACAGATTAGAAATATATTTTGAGCTTTCATAATACTGACTCACCCTCTTGTATTGCAAGAACTAGATTTTATCTTTTATACAAGAGGGGCAGGGTCATGATATTTTAGGCGAAGGTCAAGGGGAGGGTTAGCAAATTTCACTCCCATTGCAGGGATGGGTCACCTCATTTCCGAACCCAAATTTAAAATTCCCACCCCCCCTCCCCCCTTGCTAATTTCTGACAAGTCCCTAAGCTAAAAACAATTTTACGTTATTTCAAAACGCATGCAAGAATCGATGAAGTTCCATATTTCAGTTTCGAGTTTTACAGCCTTTCGTGACTTTTCATCATGGGGAAGAAGAAACATAGCATCATCCTAAATCACAAAGAATGTTAAGAGGGAGCTAAGAGCAAGGGATTACGCTCAAGATCAAAAAATAGAAAATAAGAACAGCTGGAAGCCAATTATGTTACCAGGCGGCTCTCTCACCTCTGGGTTTGAGACTTTTGTGCGATGAGGATAGACATTTCGTGCATCTGCTTCTCGCGATGTCCACCATTTGTAGAGAAGAAAGGCCTCCAAGAGCAAAACAGAAAAGACTCCGATCAGAAATGCGAGAATTAAAGCTATAATCATGAGCAAAACTAACAGCAACACGGACGATAAGGCATGTTTTTATTGTGAAGAATCGGACGGGGGAGACTGGAAACGAAATGTTTGCCGCTGACCAACTACCGCGTTTTTCCTTCCTTCCTTCCTTTCCAGATCGTCTTTAGCTTTATGCATCAGTCAATTCCACCTGCGCCCAGCCCCCCCCCCCCGGGCTGACCCCCGGGCATTAGCATTTTTTTTGCCTTGGATGGAAAATTCCCGGGGGTGGGGACTCTTGAGCTGTCAAATCCCCCGGGGTGGGGACGAGAAAAGAGGGCAAATGCCCCGTCCTCCGTCAACACTGCAACATTTTTCATTGTGATCGCACAGTCAAGTAGTGCCATTTTAAGCATTTTAATGTGCGATTTTTTGTTTCAATTAACGTCTTTCTTTGTAATAGCGCGAAGATTCTAATTAAGACTTCACGCCGCGACGACATGCACCAGTTTATGGTTTTAGTATTGATATAAAATTATTGACATTAAAATTAATAGAGCGCTGTAAAGTTATATGTTATGAATAGTTTTATAAATATGAAAGGATGTTCTTCAAATAATATCAACAGAAACAAGATTCAATAACCAAAAAACGTTGATTCACATCGATAGCTCCAATTTCGCTACGTAATTCTGGCTTGAAAAGCAATGAAGAAATGCTTACATACATGTAAAATCGAGAACATGCCTTTACAACCCTCTACAATTTATTCCAGTCATTGACAGATGAGCCAATCTGCGTTTTTTCCATTAAAACCTTCTTTGTAGTTATATTCTGATATAGGAAACCGCGTGCGTGTCAAAAGCTCGGGAATGGCCCGGGGGTTGGCAAATGCCCGGCCCCTGGGCAGTGCAAAATTTGCAAATGCCCCACCCCCGGAACTGACAAGGCGGGCAAATGCCCCGCAGTTGCCCAGGGGGGCCTGGGCGCAGGTGGAATTGACTGATGCATTAGCTCCCTTCAGCCTGATCGTGGTAAAGAAGGCACGCGATTTCTCAATCCCCGCGGACTCGCCTATCTCGGAGCTTGGAACAGGCTAGTTAAGAGAGAGTTTCTCTTCCTTTGCTGTCTCCCCTTTTCGATTCCCTCTTCCCCTTCCCCCCTCCCCCAGAAACGCCTGATATTCAGTGAATAAATTCCTCGCGGTTTCTATTTTCTTACGCGCACTCGACGATCTCTAGAGAGAAAGTAGATGGTGTGTGGACAGGCTAGATAGCCATCAGCTTTGTAATCAGCATGAGATTCCCACACGCCCTTCGCGCGTTATCCGGAAGAGAAGGAAGACCAAGCTTTAGAAAATCTGGAATGCTTACCTGAGTAACCTGAGAAAAACAACCGACATTTCGCGACGCCACCATTGGTAGAAGCGTCGCCAAATGTCGGCTGTTTCCTCAGGCTTTTAGGCTGATTGAACAATAGAACGGGAACGTCAGTTGACGACGGGAAAGTGCGCGGAAAGGACAAAACGCGACTTCCGGTGCCCAATTCACCGCTCTGCCATTGGTCAACTCAAAAGCCAACCCAGTTCTTTGATTTGCCCGCACCGTCGTCAAGTGACGTTCCCGTTATGTTGCTAAATCAGCCTATTATCTGAAGTCTTGATTCCTTTTATAGAAGAATGAGAAGCGTGCGTGAATAGCGAGGTGAATCTGTGGAAATGGGGGTTGCCTGAGAAAATTGATCGGTAGAATCAAGTAACCGTATAAGCAACATAAATTGATGATGATGATAATAATAATAATAATAATAATAATAATAATAATAATAATAATAATAATAATAATAATAATAATAATAATAATAATAACTGACTGCTACTACTACTAATAATAAATATTTATATAGCGCCTATACTTTTCAGTGCTAAACTTTTTTGTCCAAAATGTCGTTTGGAAGTGTTTCTGAACAGGCTACCCATTCTAAGTTCATAGCTTTACATTTTAGAGGTTACGCGTGCTGCAAAGACCCATGTTTGGTCTCAAAAGAAGCACTCATCAAAACAAGAGTGTACCACTGTTTTACTCTCTGCAACTGACCCTCCTCTCTCGTTGTCTCAATATCTTTCTTGATAGGCTTCAAAGTTAGTTTTAGGGTATCTGGTAGGGTCTCTCGACTGAAAATAGCTAGAGTTTTGCCTCTTTTCTGGCCAAGTGGTTCAACGTTTCAAGACGTAGGTTGTAAAAAGCCATTTATACATCTGTGTGATTTTGCTAAAAGGTGCCTGCTACGTTTTCGCTTGAACACGGGCATCGCCAGTGTTCAAGCCAGTGTAGCCAGAAAAAAATCAGGGGGCTTGGCGTCTTGCTGGGTGTCAGCAGAGAGCCCAGGCCCAGACCTATCCGTGGGTGGATGGCTTCCTTATTTTGTGTGAAAACCAGTGGGGGTAGGAAGGGAAGATTTTGTCACTTTGATTAGAGTTTTATGTCAGAAAGCAGTGCAAAGTCAGAGAATTAATTTTTTTCCTGTGGCCTAGGCCAGCCAAATCAATACGGTGACTCATAATCATAACACTACTAGCAGAGCTTGGGGGAAGTGATTGATTAGTCATAAGCTTCATGGATGGGGAGGGTGAGTAATGGCTCCTTGGACTTGACCGTCTAGAGACTCAGAACAGGCACCTTGCATGAAATCCAGACAAACATGTAAAAACCTACATATATAAAATTCGTTCATTCGATAAAGGAAATTTTATCACCGTGAAGGAGATTCAGAAAGTGACGTTTGGAGAGCTAGCCCTTCATTAGAGCAAATCAAGTCATACATCATACACCATGTTTATTTGCAAAATGCGATTTCCTTTATTCGCTTTCTTTTAAATAGGAGGTCAAATGATTAACACACATAAATACTGCAAATGGGACATGAAGAGCTGAATTATGGGACATCGACAAAAAAGGACAATTAAATTACTGGCTCTTCAGGAAGAGAGCCGCGCCACACTGGGTCCATCTGCTCTGGTTGCCGCCACACGGCATATTAAAACACGTGACAGTCTTTTCTCGGTCTGCAGTGTAGTAGATTGGAACCGAGATGCAGTCGTTCTCGGGATAGGGGTCAGCTGTATCCTATAAAGAAAAGACGAATGTGACAGGTGTCAAATGTGGTCAACATCATAAACGTGAATTAGAAGCACGCGAATAACGCAGGCTTCGCTTGAACTCAAACGTTCTCAAAAAGCAGATGGGTTATTTTTAAAGGGACAGTTATCCGTTTTGATGCACTGACGGTTTCACATATGTAATGGTAAGTAATACACGTCACGGATATAAGCGGTTACGATCAATTTCAGTTGTTTGTTTCTTATTCAGATTAATAATGGGCGATTAAAGGTGGTTGAGGTATCTCAGAAACAGTATAATATTCATTCCTGAGGAATTGTTATTCATGACTTTTCAGTAACGTATGGGAAATCAATCTGACTTGGGACAAGCACAAGACAGACTGAGTGCCTGTTTACATGGAGATGGGGGACTCCAGGTAGGTGGGGTAACCCGTCTGTCCATATAATCTCTCATTTTAATTTGATCACGTTTACATGACAGGTGGGGTGACCTGCCACATGTTACCTCACCTACCAGGGGTCTCCCACCTCCATGTAAGCAGGCCTTGAATTGAATGTAGGTAATCTGGAACCCGACTTACTCGCTGTAGAGGGTGGGTGGGTCGCCAATCGCTCTTCGTGTTGGACAAAGTGAAGTGAATTAAACAAGGCATGCCAGTGTTTCCTATTTTGTATATACTAATTTGCATATCATTAATTAATCCTCAGGGATGATATTTACAATTCAAATGGAATGTGAATAGCAGGATTTTACTCCAATGTAAATTGCTCGCATGTGAATGCTCCAGGGTAGCGCTCCTAATTCAAAAACACTGGGTCTGGTAAAAACGACACTAAAATAGCTTACCTTTGATACCCAGGCCACCGATGCCGTTGGGATGGCTGAAACACTGGGCGAATCTCTCTGATTCTCTGTCAGTGTGTTGCCATCAAAGCTGCATCCTTCCAGCTGAAGTCCACCAAGCTAACAAATGAAAAATTACAAAATAAATTCACTCAAACAAAAAAAAATCAAGACAAGAAAGATGAGAAATACATCAAATTCCAAAGGAAGCGGATCTAAAATAGAAAATCGACGTCATTTTTTCCCATCCCACTCGACCCCCGCCGCGAGAGCTTGCCGGCGGGCTAGCTATAAATTGCAAAGAGACCCATATGTCTTTACAAAAAGAAGCAAACCTTCACAGTGAACTTGGCTCCTTTGACCTGAGATTCCTTCCAAGACACGGCGAGTTTCAAACCGTCGATTGAGGTCCTCATTGCTCTGAAAGACAACAGCATCAAGAAATAAGTGCAAGGAATAATTTTTTGGAGCTCAAATTGTACAAAATTAATCTCCAACATTTTATTCTACATTAAAAGTTGCACTGGGACAAATGCCTCGCCGTTTAGTCTCATCATTTACCCAGCTTTCTAAACGGTTACTCTCGCCGCATCCAAACAAAGTACCCTTAGCGTTTGATGTGATAGGCCATTTTTGAACGTTCAGAAGTTTATTCTGGAAGTCGCCAAGCGGTATTAAGGGTTAATGCAGCTAGTTTTCAAACTAATAGATAACTGGAAATAACTGGGTGACATAAGAGCAAATAACGTAACCCCCGGCGTATCTGTTGCTTTTAGCGGAGCTCTCACGCACGGGAAGCGCGTGCAGCGGAGGACCCTAGGTAAGGAAATTTGGTTGAGATTTAACGTGATATTAGACATCCATGTTATGATCAGTTGACAGATAGATAGATAGATAGATAATCTTTATTTATCCACGGTACAAAATTCGTCAGCTTTAAAAATGCCTAATACTAATATAATAATGTCGAAATAGGGAATCCGTTCACCAGTGTCACATGACTGTATCGTAGGCTAAGGTGTAAAAATCGTTGAGGTCACGGGTATTTTGTAAGTTCTCCGCTGACCCCTATTAGTTTTCACGTGATCGCAGGCTCAGAAAACGTTCCTTCAGAAAGATATTTTTAAAAAGTCCACAGAGTGCTTCGCTTTTGGCCTTGGCTAAATCTATATGTTCAGGAAGGTTTATTTTGGTCTTGAAACTTCACTCTCTACATTAAAGTAGGGGCCACGTTTATTAGTTACGCACTGATCACTAATAAAATTTGGTTTTACCCAAATTGATTTACTGTTGAGCAATTTATAGAGCCTATGATCACTATGTATGTTTGTGAATGGCAAATAAAAAGTCAAATCAGGCTAGTCCCTAGGCGTTCTCTCTTGCTCTATTGTCTGCAATATTTACAAGATTGCAACCAAAATTGTGCTAAGGACTTGTTCGCTTACCTAGCCGTTTGCTGTCGAAGGGCATTAAGGAAGGTGTCAGGATGAAATAGCTCAGAAAGGTCCAGCACTTCCCGTAATAAGGAGTCTGAGTTGCATTTCTCCACCCAGGAGCCCAGGGCTAGGGTCTTGGCAACAAGGGCCCTTAACCAATGGATGGGATCCTCTGGGCCTTCAAAGTGATTACTCCAAGAGAGGGGTACCTAGGGACAAAAAAAGGTATTACTTAGAATTGCTGGTTTGCACGTGACGTCATGGCGACCATGTTGGTGGTCAAGAACAAAAGCATTTCTCTCCTCTGGGAACTAAACTCCATTTTCATGTAAATTTTTCGAGCAAAATTTCTATTGTATTGACCCCCAACATGGCCGCCTTGTCACGTGGTTGCAAACCAAGAATAGTAGACCGGGAGAGAGCAGAAGCGCCTAACCCGTGTCGAAGGAGTAAGGTACATATTTGCTCTATGCTAAGCGAACTGGGCAAAATTGTCCTGGAATGGGGTTGGGGTGAGGTGGAGAAGCAGCTCTAGAAAACGACCCTGGTCAAATCTCTTGGGACACTGACACAGTAGCTTGTCAAAAGACGCATTTTCCATACCCTCCCCCACGGTGCAGTGTTGACGTTCTGCACTAAAGTCTTCTTTAACAATCCACATTGCTTGGGGGAAAAGAGGAAAAGAGGAACAGGCTCTTATAAAGTCATTCCAGAGTCTTTTAAAGAAGTACAACAGCTGCAGCCGTCACAAAGGAATTGATTTTAATAAAAACTATCAGATGTGTGCTTTACAAGTTTAGTCTTTTAATTAGAGTTTGACAACCTCTCTCCTCCACAAAGGCCTCTAGCGAGGAGAGAGTTTGAAAACAACGATTTAGTTCTCCTTCTTACCTCTTGCTTGAGTAGTGCGCCCGCGAGAGCCTGGACCTCAGCATCTAGCAAGGCAGTTCCTCGGATGACCTTACTAAGGGAGGAGAGGGAAGCGTGCACAATTTGCACCAATCGGATGGCATTGTACCTCTCGAGCAGCACAAATGACGTCACTGGAGATTCCTCACCAGTCTCCGCTGGTGCTGAAATTTTCATTTGAATAAGTTGTGATCCCTGTATGAAAATAAACGATAGGAAGATAAACTTTGATGAGATCAAAACAAGAGAAAACGATGTCAAACGTATATTAGTATTTAAGTCAATGTCAATGGTAGACGATAAGAACCCTCTTGAAACCCTCATTATCACAGGCTGTATGTTATGTGTAGATGGGGAAAGCATCGCGATGCGCAAATAAAACAGCAATTAATTGCAGACGGAAAACCCAAGTAGGGTCCGCAACTTAATTATTCTATCTACGGATCATAAGAAAAAAAAAAACGGGAGCGAATAAAGGCGATGCACACGACCAAGTTTTATGTTTTGGTCTACAACAAAACCGCTCAATAGGTGCGACGAAAGTCAAAATTTACTTTTTCCTTCTTTCATGAACGATGGCTGCAAATGCTCAAGATGAAAAGTTTGTAACGGCAGGGTTTGCTAGGATTGCAATCATTTCAGTTTGCAGCGAGAGGAACTGGGAGCAGCCCTACCACACGTAACACGCACTAAAACACAGAGAATAGAAAACAAACAAAAGAGAAGACACAAACAAAACAAAAAGAAGCAAGTACAAGTTGTGATACCTGGTTGAGTTTCTTCCACAGGTTCAGTATAGGAGAAAGTTCAGTGGACCACTTGTCTTTATCGAATTTGTACGCTTCCAGATCAGAGCGCATCAACACCTTGAGCTGGCTTATCACCTACGTAAAACAAGGAAGATATTAAGCTTGAAATTAGTTAAGGTTTCACTCTATCTTCAGTCCAAATACATAACCTACATTTACGTTGTTTTGTATGGCTTTCAAAAGATGAATGCCAAGAAAGTGAACACTTAAGACAAAGTAGAAAAGCAAATATTGGCACTGGAATCAACAATCATCCTTAGCCTGTACGTTTTGTTTAAGCTAGAAAGCGGGTCTACTAGACTCAACG